AATTTAAATGAAGCGGCGATTATTTAAATCGCCGCTTCATTTTACTATGTCTGGTAGCCTAATCTACATGCCTCTGGCGACAGAGGCATGTAGTCTAGACGAACCCTTAGTCCAAGTAACCACCATACACCTGTTGCCCACTAACCTAGCAGCAGCCCCAGACATGTCTGAAATATGACTTGACATACCTTCCAGCACTCTCTCCGAATCACCATTCCCTGATATCAAGCACTGTCTGATGTTGTGCCCTGCCTCCTACGTACCCATACGTTTTCTAGTACTCACATATATACTAGCAGCACATTTAAAAAAAAAATCATATGATTTCTTATCCTGTTTGTGCCAATTCATTGCCCATTTCTGTGCAATTGGAAATAGTAGACTTAAGCATTTAGATGAGTCTTTACAGGTTTTACATTCTGGCTTCAGGCTGAGCTCTTTAAAGTCCAGTAACATCTGTCCAGTCCTTGACATCTATGCTCTGCTTAGCAAAGATGGACGGAGACCAAGAAAATAAAAAATCCCAAAGATTTTAAAAACAAATAACTTTAAAGAACTATATTTGTGTTCTTGTGCTCTTTGAATTCAATTTCAATTTATAACTTTTTAAATCATTTTTATGAAGACTTTGTATACTGGATACCTGTATTTCTTGGTTGGTTCCAGACCTGAAACTAAATGTATCTTCAACCTCTGGTGTAAGCTTACACTATGCCTGGTATTTACTCATTGCTTTGGTGATGTTTAATTGCTACCTGTGTTAGAGATTTGTTCAACAGCATGTTTATCTTTCTTGCTGTTGCATATCCTGTGTTATCATCTCCCTCGACCCTATTCTATTGCTTCCATTCTCATAACTGTTGCATAGCCTGTGTTATCATCTCCCTTCACCCTGTTCTGTTGCATCTATCCTCCTGCCCTTTTGAGTGCTGCTTTCTTCCAAATTCTCTGGGGTTTTTTTTTATTGTAATGTAAAATTAAGCTTAGAGGTGGTAGGTAGCCTGTCAAAGTTCTACATGATGTACCTCCCTCATCCGGCACCCTTAGGAACTGACTGGTCCCAAACAAGGGGATTTGGCGAATGAGGGGAGGTTCCTCCCAACATAGCCCTGGCTAGGACTCCAGCCAAGAATCCAGCTCTGATCAGTTTGCTTTTCTCAAATTCTGTCTTTTTTCCTAGTGTCATCTCACTAATTTTGCAGCAAACAAGATTGCTGCTTTAACTACAAACCTAAATGTTTTCTTATAGTAAAAGTTGCCCTTAGTTCATTCATGTGCTACCTTCAAAAATTAGTAGCAGTGATTACTTAAAACAGAATTTTCCTTTATCTGAAAGTATCTGTCAGACTTTTGTAGAATTTATTGCATAGTTTTCTATTTTTTCAGCCTTTTAAGAAATGAGTGGGGTTGAGGATGGAAGTGTTGATTGGTCCTGATGAGATTAGTTGATATTAGTCCAATCTGATTTTTTTTGTATATGCTTCAATTTTTAAAAAATGTTTGTACATGCCCCTACAGCAGGGATGGGCAATAAGGTGCCTGCAGGATGGATGCAGTTCACCAGGCTTCGCCCCTGGCGGGCCCCAAGACACTTCATTTATTTGAACGTCTGCAGATATGGATGTTTGTGCTCCCATTTGCTGTCATTCACGGTTCCTGGACAATGGGTGCTAGACTTCCTGGAAGCTTCCATTGTCCAAGAACAGAGAACCACAGTCAATGGGAGCTGCAAACAGCTTTGTCTGCAGACTCTCAGGTAAATAAAGCATCTGGCAACACACCTGGAGCTAACCATGGTGAATTGTGTCTGGCTCACAGGCCACTTATTGCCCAACCCTGACCTAAAGGATTTTTTCAGTTTGTAAATTTGTATATGTGTCCAGCAATAAATATCTTCAAGATTTTTCTTTTGCATTACAGGAAACAAATTAACTTTGGAAACTAGACCAACTATAGAAGGAATAGATGTAAGACAAGAGCTGTTGAAGTTCCATTCCACTTATTATTCATCAAATTTAATGGTTGTTTGTGTCCTAGGACGAGGTGAGTGTCAAAATTTTAATGGCAGTTTCTTGGTTAGCTTAATGTGATTTTTATTTGAGCTCTTGTAGAGGAAAATAAAGATGTGCTTATTTTAGCTAAGACTTTTCCGCCCAGGTTTTTAAACAAAGGAGGTTAGCACTTCCTTAAAAATGTACTTAATTGTATGCATTGTGAACAGTCTCATTGAAGTCGGTGAGGATACTCACTGACTGCACAGATAAGCATGTGTAAATCTTAGTGGAATTGTTTTGGTTTCTCAATCCTAAAACTTGTTATGAATTGCTGTATGATAAATAAGTACTGGTGCCTCAGATAAGAGGTTTTTAAAATTTATATAAATATCTATTTTTAGAAATTTAACAGATCTAGCGTGAAAATACTTAGTGGTTTTCTCTGATGCATGTTGTGTAATTCCACAATGGCATAAAAGACATATAATTAAAGATAGAAGAGCCAAAATTTAATCTAGTTATTTGTTTTATAGACATTTAGAAGTTAGGTTTATTTCATAGGTGCTGTGCACTCAAGTTGAATTGTCAGTTGAAGTTGTAGATACTCGACTCTGTTTTTTGTGTGGGTTTCAAGAATCCTAATAATAATGTGTTGAAAAACTTAAATATACTGGCAGACCATCACTCATGAGTCACACTAAAATAATATAATAAGGTCATACATGATTGGACAACATTCAGTTAACAGACATTTCTATTTCAGATTTCCAAATATGTGAAATAAATTATTAATTTTCAAAATAATAGAACATACTTTGATAGATTTTATTAATTAAATTGTCTGCCTCTTAAGTAACATAATGTGGTGATGATCATATTTGAAATAAGAGTTAAATAAGGGCATCATATAACTTTGGTAACAATACGATGAATTGTTCAATTGCTGTTAGAAAACATTGCTTTTGAGAAAATATTGCTGTAGCAATGACATTGAACATTATATAGGACATAATCATACAGTGGGCTGACTTGTACATACTAATAAAGGAATACATTTAAACACATGCATTATTGTAAACACATGAGTAGTCTTATTAACTTAATTGGGACTATGTTTAAGTACAACCCTGAATCTAGGCCACAAAGAGCATAAGTCATAAGAACGGCCATGCTGGGTCAGACCAGTGATCCTTCTAGCCTAATATCCTGTCTTCTGAGAGTGGCCTATGCCAACTACTTCAGAGGGAATGAACAATGTAGGTAATCATCAATTGATCTGTCTCCCGTTACCCATTCTCAGCTTCTGGCAAACAAGATAAGGACACTTCAGAAAATAGTTTCCATCTCTACCCATCCTGGCTAATAGGCGTTGATGGATCTATCCTCCCATGAACATATCTACTTCTTTTTCTAACCTTGTTGTAGTCCTGGCTTTCAGAACATCCTCTGGCAAAGAATTCCACACATTGACTATGAGTTTTGTGAAGAAATTCTTCCTTTTGTTTGTTTTAAACCTGCCATCTGTTAATTTCACTTCTTGACTCCTAATTCTTGTGGTATGAAAAGGAGTAAATAACACTTCCTTATTTACTTTCTCCAGGCCCATCATGATTTCATAGACCCCCTCCCTCCTTAGTCGTCTCTTTTCCATCATCAGTTTCTGTGGTAACTTTCTATCATCAACTTCTCATCTTTTTGTATCTTTTAATGTGAAACTCATATTATGAAATTAGTTGAGAAACTATGCTTGTGGAATTATAACCATAGGATCACTTAGTTTCCTGAGTTCTATTGCCCTTCCCACCTGCCTCCCTCCACTGTTCTGCTGAGTGACCCGGGGAAATTCTGTGCCTCAATTTCCCCATCTCTAAAATGGGGATAAATGATACTGACCTTTGTTTAAAGCATTTTAAAATTTTCTGATGAAAAGCACTGTGAAAGAGATAAATGGTATTATTACTCAGTGGAAGTTTTGTGCATGTATAGACTGCTAGATCAAGCCTCATGCCTTTAACTCGTGCTGTCCTGCTTTCATATTGCAGCACATATGGTAACATTACATGTTGATTATAGAATGGTGAACATCTTTGTTTTTCCACAGCCTTAATCTGACCTGCCAACTGTTGAGGGGTATGTGTGTGGGTGGGTGTTTTGTTTATAAGGTGCTCTTTCTATAAAGATGTGCTAACAGGAAAGACTGTGAGGGTTTTTAAGAGCTCATTCATTCATTCATTCATTCATTCATTCATTCATTCATGCATTCATTCATTCATTCATTCATTATTGTTGTTTTTGAGATTGGAAATTCAGTGCTTGTTTGTCTTTGAAAAATTCTCTAGTGGAGAACTAGTAAGCCTGAACAAAAGCCTGAAAAGACAACTTTCTGAGAGGGCAAGTGATTTTTAATGACTATTTTAAAACTTTGTTGATACTTACTTAATTTCTGTAACAAAAAACAGGACTGTGTAGCACTTTAAAGACTAACAAGCTGGTTTAATAGGTGATGAGCTTTCGTGGGTCAGACCCACTTCCTCAGATCAGATAGTGGAAGAAAATTGTCACAACCATATATACCAAAGGATACAATTAAAAAAATGAACACACATGAAAAGGACAAATCAAATTTCAGAACAAAAGGGGGATGGAGGCGGGGGAGAAAGGGGAGGAGGTAAATGTCTGTGAGCTAATGATATTAGAGGTGATAATTGGGGAAGCTATCTTTGTAATGGGTAAGATAATTAGTGTCTTTATTCAAATTTGCATGTAAAGTGTCGAATTTAAGCATGAATGACAGTTCAGAGTGAAGTGACACCACTCTCTACAGAAAACCCACTGACTCATACAGTTACCTACATGCATCCAGCTCCCATCCAGAACACACCACACGATCCATCGTCTATAGCCAAGCCCTTCGATACAACCGCATCTGCTCTAATCCCACTGACAGAGACCAGAAGCTTCAGGATCTCTACCAAGCATTTATAAATCTCAACTACCCACCCGGAGAAATAAAAAAGCAAATTGAAAGAGCCAGATGAATACCTAGAAACCATCTACTTCAAGACAGACCCAAGAAAACCAACAATAGAACACCACTTGTCATCACCTACAACCCCCAACTTAAACCTGTCCAACACATTATCAATAAACTACAGCCTATATTGGAACAGGATACCATACTCAAAGAGGCTCTGGGAGACAGACCCATAGTCTCCTATAGACAACCACCTAACCTCAAGATGATTCTTACCAACCACCACAGGACATACCAGACTAATACCAACCCTGGTACCTTCCCTTGCAACAAACCCCGTTGCCAGCTTTGTCCACATATTCACTCTGCTGATACCATTATTGGACCCAAGCTCTCCCTATTCTGAGGCTCTCAGCACTAGTCCCCCCTCTTCCAGTGGTTGACAGTCCAAGCTATGAATCCCAAAGCAGGAAAGGCTCCAGTTTTCAGCCCTGCTGTGGTTCGGGGGCTCTAGCTATGAGCCTCTTGCGGAAATGACATCCAAGAGTAGAAGTAAGTAAGGCAGTGTCTACGAGGACACTGCATCACCGTAATTGCATCTACCTAAGTGCTAGTCCTCTTGTGGAGATACAGTTAAGTTGATGTAGCAGGGGACTTCCATTGGTAGGAGCTATATTTTAGTGTAGACGCTTACAGAGGTAGAGTAATGTAAGTTGTCTTATGTCAACCCAACTCTGTAGAGTAGAGTAGGCCTAGAAGAAACTCAATATTACTGTGTTAAAACAAGCATAAGGAAAAAATATTTTTGAAATGTAAGGGGGGGGAGACTTCTAAATACAAAAGCAAAGCATAACAATAAATCATTCATGCCCTTAAGATTTTTTAATTTTTTTGCAGGTTATCTTTAACAGTACTTTGCATTAGGTCACAATATTTACAGCCCTTTCTTAGATGAAGCTTCCATTTACATTAGTTAGATAAGATCTTAGAGTATTTTTTATCACGTTTTTGCTACAATGCATTTAAATTGATGTGTGTTTTATAAAAAGAAGTCAGTCCTGTTATGTCAGGGAAGGTATTACTTTTTCCTTACATTTACATAACTCTTAGAAGGGTTGCTTTAGCAACCTTTATTCAGTGATATTCTGAATATCCTTTTTAATCTTTCTTAAGTTGCATAACTTTGATTCAATATTTTTGAAGAGCCTGCTGTATTTATTTATTCAATCATACATTTGTGCTGAATAATACTCTCTTTTATATAATACTTCATTAAGTCCTTTTTCTTTAAATAGTTTCCATGCTTTGACAAAAATCTTAAATCAGTAAAAACAAGCACTGGAGATTTGTTTTCAAAATAACAATTATTTCATTGAGTACAAAATTTCTAAATCTCTAAAATATTGAACTGGCAAGTATTAAAATTACTTTACTTTATTTGGAGATTGATCAGAGACCTCAAATGTATAGCGGCTAAACTCCTGACTTTTCTTTAAAAGTATTTTTGCATGGAACTTTCTCCAGTATGATTTCCTAATCCAGCAATACAACATGTAAGTTTCAAAGTGTTCTAAAACACACAGAAATATTCAGGTAATCTTGAAATGTGGTATATGAATTGGGAGTATAGGATACAGTTTGAGAGAGAAATTTGGGTTTACTTAGACAAAAGGTTTCGGAGATTTTGCCTCTGAAGTGATCTGCTTTTATTTTTCAGAGTGCACCAAAAAGCGCATGTCTGAGCAGATAGCTATTTTCAAGACAATGCCATGTCAGAACACAAGGTGCTGATTTGGACTCAATGGGTTAAGGGTTTCCAGGATAAAGTCTGTCCCTTGAGTAACTTTTAATTTTCAAAGTGCTTAGAATCAGGCATGCAACATGGAAAACTGTGGGTAACTGAGAGAGGACATACTCTGCGTATGCCACAGTTGCTTAGTGGGAAACTGGACTAGGGAGCTCTGTGAGCTAGTGGACATGCTTGATTCATACCACAAAGACAGATTACTGATTTGGGGACCTGAAAATAGTAGATTCAATGCAACCAGTAGGCGCATAATACTGAGACAGGTGGAGAGCTGAGGTCAGGAGAATTGCTTAGGCTCATGCTCAGCTCTGCTCAGGCTCCCCATGGATGAATTCAGTAAAGAAGCTGAGTGAATAATCCGTGCACCAACTCAGATGATAGATTATGAGGAGTAGTACTGATATTCAGTGTCTCCCTTGTTGTTGGTTGACTCCTGTGATTTAGTGTATTCAGGTCGGTTCTGTAGATCCCGCCAAAAATTATGGGCAGTAGCCGCATAAAAATTTATTTTCTTTGGCCCTAAAACGCATCCAGTGTCTGATACCAAAAGCCAGTCTAAAATGCACTGATCTTTTGTGCCTTGATAGCAATACAGTGAAAGACTCCCCTTACCTATAAGGTAGTACCTCCATCTGATAGCTGATTTGCTGGAAGGAATGTCATAAACTGCCCCTTCAGGCCCACTTTATTAGAAAAACAAGGAAAATTCACATTAAAAAAACTTTACCATGGAGTTAAGATTTTACATGCCTAATGCATTCTAAAATGTGAAAGTTTAATTGCTCTGATAAATCACTTATAAGAAGGTTAGCTGATGCTAACCTCAGCGGTGAAAGTAACTTAAAATTTCTTACAGGTACTGTCATATTGAAGCCTGGGTCCCTGCCAGCTCTTTTGCTGCAGCTGAGCTAGCCCTTGCCAGTGTTGCACACCAGCATACTTTCGATTCTAATTAGCATTACAAGGCAAAACAAAACACAAATATTTGAAACTTTGGGATACCTGTATATCTTGGATTTGTTGTTAATTATGCTCTTTACATGTTAATTTTTAATATTTGTAATATTTATAACTGTACTTGACAGTCTTAACTGCAACTTAAATTCCAAAATTAAAAAAATCTTTAACCACCGTTAAGATCTTGTTTATAAAGCACAAACCTTATCTATAAAAAATAAAAATATATCTCAGAATATATTCCCTTTCTGCAAATAATGGTAGTTCATGTGGTGATGATGGTGGCAGTGGGAAGCATTAAGCCCAACTTTTATTTTTCCCCCTAAATGGAATACAGGCAGTCCCCGGGTTACATGGATCCGACTTACATCAGATCCCTACTTACAAACGGGGTGAGGCAACCCCGCACTAGCTGCTTCCCCCCAGCAGACCAGGGAGATGAGAAGCTAGCGTCCCCCCAAGCAGACCAGGGAGACGCGGAGCGGCTTTTCTCAGCAGACACCTCAGCTTGAGAATAAAGGAATGAGGGAAGTGAGGTGTGGGAGAATAAAACTGAGCTCTGGAGAAATGTTTGGCTAGAGTTTCCCCTACAATATGTACCAGTTCCGACTTACATACAAATTCAACTTAAGAACAAACCTACAGTCCCTATCTTGTACGTAACCCGGGGACTGCCTGTATCTAAGTCCCAGATTGCTGGAACCTTCTGACAATGATAATGTTATTTCTCTTTGCTCTCTTTTAGAATCATTGGATGAGCTGACCAGTTTGGTAGTAAAGCTATTTTCAGAAGTAGAGAACAAAGATGTCCCATTACCAGAATTTCCTGAACATCCTTTCCAAGAAGAACATCTTCGGGTAGGTTATGAGACTTTCTGGTATACTTTCACTGAAGAGTACAGACCTTAGTTCTGTTCTCCTACCTCTGTAGAAATATCATCATCATACACAATTGTACCACAACAATTACTACAGGTATTTATAGACAATACAGCTTAATCTAGCTAAAGTCATAGTTAAAATTGTGCATCTGAATGTTATTGAGAGAAATTGAGTAATGTGGATTCCAAGTGTGAGTTTGGGTGCTAAGGTTTGTGAGCCAAGATTACTATGATTGTGAATGCTGGGTTAATTTATTATTTGGCTCATGAATTTTTAACAGTTGTGTTGATAAGAAATGCACATAAGTAACTTTAATCTAAGTAAATGTGTGTGGAGGGGTGTTTGGTGTGTTTGAAGTGAAAAGGTGAAATACTGGAATCAGTAAAATATTTTATTTTTACTTCTAGCAACTTTACAAAGTGGTACCTATTAAGGATATTAGAAATCTTTATGTCACGTTTCCAATACCAGACCTTCAGAAATACTATAAATCAAACCCTGGTCACTACCTTGGTCATCTAATTGGACATGAAGGTCCAGGAAGTCTTTTATCAGAACTCAAAGCTAAAGGTAAGTCCACTGTTAAAAGTAGTGCATTATAGATGCCATGAAGCCTTGGAGCAATATGTCACTTCAGGTTGATTAATGAAAATTAAAAGCTTAAATATCAAAAATAGAAATAAATTAAAATCTGAATTCTAAGGCATTTCTTAGTTATTCTTTTTACTCTGTTTGGTTACACCTCTCCCCCAGACTAGAATCCTCTCCTGCACCCCGTACCCCCTCCCTGACCCTATACCCCTATCCACTGACCCAGCTCTCACAACCTCCTCTGTCCAAACTTCCGCTCAGATCTCACACCGTCTCTTGCACTCTATTTCCTTACCCTGTGCACCCGTCTGCGCCTAACCTCCACCCTAGACCCTGGACGCCCTCCACAGAAAAGCATGTCCCTTGACCACTTTCCAAAATCTTGGAGTGGCCTCCCACCAAAAATTATTGCCCACCCCGAATTTAATCCTTCTTTTAACTTGTCTGTGTAATGGGTACTTTGCATATAAGTTACTTGATACAAATGTTTTATCAATGTGTGTATATAAATTACCAGTACCAAAAACATTTAGAGAAACAGCATAAATCAACACACACTTTTTTTTTCCCAATATATTTTCCTCTTGATTTCTTAGGCTGGGTAAATACTCTGGTTGGAGGACAGAAAGAAGGTGCTAGAGGTTTCATGTTCTTCATCATTAATGTGGACCTGACAGAGGAAGGGCTTTGTAAGTGAAGAGCTGTTTTTTAATCTCCTCTATTAGAAAACCTTTATTATCTTATCCAGAATGTCTAAGCAGATGAATAACTTACATTTCTGTACACTGACGCTGCCCTCTTAATAAGTTAACAAGCATGTTTATACAGAGTAAGAAATCAACCGTAAATGAATGTATTAAGTAAGATCATTTCATAAAACAAATGTTTGATATTAATTTCTCCCCAAATAGCACAAGCTCTTATATTGTACATGCTGGATGGTTCAGTGGATGGTTCAATCTGTATTGAAATACTAAAGTTTATATGCACAGAGAAAAATTAACAGGCTCATCGCACTATTTAAAAAATAAAGCTTTGGGTCAAAAAATTACTTAAACACATACCTCATTTCAAGCATATAAAATTATAGTTGATTTCTAGTTGATATCTGCTCTGGGACTGTGCATGTGCTTAAATATCTTGTTGAATCAAGTCCTACTTAACCAACGTTGAAAACTTTTCATAATTTTTAAAATTATTTTTAGTAGGAAGAAAATTTTATTTTTTTCCAAGATGCAGAATATAAAAGTCTTTTAAAATGTGTAATCTTTGTTTTTCAGTACATGTTGAAGATATAATTTTGCACATGTTCCAGTATATTCAAAAACTACGTACAGAAGGACCTCAAGAATGGGTTTTTCAAGAGTGCAAGGTATAGTATTTTTACATTATAGTGGCAACTCTCTATTAATCTGTTTTTATTGATAAAATTTGGATGTTAGAGAATCAAATTCCATGGCTGTCCAACTCCTTTAAGAATTTCTTCTGTAATTTTACAGAAGCAGTTTGTATGACTATAACATTTATTAAAAACTGAAGCAGAGATCTATGCTTTAAATACACCAGTATTTTCAATATAAAAGGCTAACAGAATGCTATTTCTTAGCCAAGAGAGTAGTCTAGGCAGGGGCGGCCCTAGACTAGCTGCCAGCAACTGGCGCCCTAGGCGAACCAGGCAATCGGTGCCCCCCCTCCAAACCCCTCAATGATATTGCGGCACCATTTAGCGCCCCATTTAACTTGGTGCCATAAGCAACCGCCTAGTTCGCCTATATGGGCGGGCCGCCCCTGAGTCTAGGTCGTTATCCTACCTTTGTGGCTGCACAGAGGTCCTAGGAGCAGTATTATATTCTCCTTTTAATGCCCTTGCCTAGCCTTCCATCTCCATTACAGGTGTGGGAGGGAAACAGGAACTGCACATCTGCAACAGTTGGGTAGTAGGTGGGGAATGGAAGGGACTTCTGCTCCACCCTTCTTCCCTATGCCACAATTAACATAATTCTGTTGGCAGAGGCATATAGAGGGTTTGTATTATTCATTATCTTCTGTAGCAATGGAGAGATTATTTGTTCTAGACAGTTTGAGTGTTTAACATGTGCCCATAGGAGTAAGAAATTGATGTAAAGTTATTGTTTAAGTTCCAAGAGCTGCAAAACACCCATGTGTAGATCAGGGGAGGATTTAAGGAGAGAGGAGCCCCAGAGCTGGCCCAAGAGCAGATCCTTCCCAGTCCGCTCTCATAGGGAGTGAGAAACCTGTGATCTTGACACCTTTTTGTCCTTTGTCCTGAGCTGCTTTTTGAAACAGTTAAATGAAATAGCTGATATCACTAGACTACTGTCTAAAGAAATAGTCACCTAGTGATATAAAATCACAGGATAGGTTCTGTTACTGGATGAGAGATGTTTTATTGAATATGATAGTGAACAAGAAAGGATAATCCATTGATTCATCTAGTGGTTTAAATGGTAAACAAATTACAGGCTTTTGATCAAATGTCCAGTCTTATTTTCAGTTATTTGATTAAATGACTTGTTTGAGTGTAAAATATATTAACTAAACATTAGGGATGTAAAAAATCCCATTTAATTGGGTAACTAGTTAAACTGCTCCAGCCCCCACCAGTTAACTTTAACTGGTAAGCCTTATCTGTTAAGATGAGGTTTACTGGTTAAGTGGTTAAACCTTCAAATCTCTAGTCAACACTTATTAGTCTAATAACTATGAAAATGGCTTTCCCATGTGTCAAGGCTGTTCCTCACTCTGACGCTTAAGAGTACAGAAGGTAGAGGCCTGCAAGAGACTTGAAAATAAGTTGCCACTAAAAGCTTCTGTTTTAAAACTCTGATTCCCTGTGCTTGAATGGTACACTGCCATTACCCAAATGCAAAAACCCCTTTGAAAACTGAGGAAGAGGCTGTGATGGAGTGAGGTCACAGAAGACCCCTGGGAGTGATTCCCAGGGTGCTGACAAGGCCACTGCCACCCTCGTTTTTGCTCTCTGTGTGGCTTCTCACCACCCTGTCCTGCTAAGCCAGCTCCCTGGTCTCCCCCAGCCAAGGTACAAAACTGAGAATCATGCCCTCCTTCTCTTTCCCCCTCCCCCCCTGGAGAATCAATGCAGACACTGAATCTCTTCAGGTCCAATGAAAATAAAGTTTTGGGCCCAGCTTCCTGGGATACCACTCCCCAAATGGGATCAAAACCCCAAATGATTTATTTAGGTAAGCCTCCTTTTAGCAACGAAAGGGGGAATGTACACACTGATTTCTTATCAATAAACTAGGCAAATACAACTTAGATGGGGCTACTATAAGGTGGATGCATAACTAGCTGGATAACTGTTCTGAGAGAGTAGTTATTAACAGTTCACAATCCTGCTAGAAGGGCATAAGTGAGGTTCCGCAGGGCTCTCTTTGGGGCTGGTTCTGTTCAATATCTTCATCAACGACTTAGATACTGGCATAAAGGGAACACTTATTAAGTTTGTAGATTATGCTAAGCTGGGAGGGGCTGCAGCTGCTTTGGAGGATAGGGTCATAATTCAAAATGATGTAGACAAACTGGAAAAATGGTCTGAGCTAAATAGGATGAAGTTTAATAAGGACAAAAGCCAAGTACTCCACTTAGGAAGGAACAGTCAGTTTCACACATACAGAATGGGATACCACTGTCTAGGAAAGAGTACTGCAGAAAGGGATCTAGGAGTCATAATGGACCACAAACTCAACGTGTCAACAGTGTGACGCAGTTGCAAAAAATGCAAACATGATTCTGGGATGCATTAACAGGAGTGTTGTGAGCAAGACAGGAGAAGTCATTCTTCCACTCTACTCTGCACTGGTTAGGCCTCAGTTGGAGTATTGTGACCAGTTCTGGGCACCACATTCCAAGAAAGATGTGGAGGAATTGGAGAAGGTCCAGAAAAGAGCAACAAGAATGATTAAAGGTCTAGAAAACATGACCTATGAATGAAGACTGAAAGAATTTAGCTTGTTTAGTTTGGAAAAGAGAAGACTAAGAAGGGATATGTAGTGGTTTTTAGGTATCAAAAAAGGTGTCACATGGAGGAGGGAGAAAAATTGTTCTCTTTGGCCTCTGAGGATAGGACAAGAAGTAATGGGCTTAAACTGCAACAAGGGAAGTTTAGGTTGGACATTAGGAAAAACTTCCTAACTGTCAGCGTGATTAAACACTGGAATAAGTTTCCTAGGGAGGTTGTGGAATCTCCATCTCTGGAGATATTTAAGAGCAGGTTGGTTAGACATTTATCAGGGATGGTCTATACGGTACATGCGGGCAGGGGACTAGACTGGATGACCTCTTGAGTACCTTCCAGTTCTAGTGTTTTATGATTATATGATTGCTCCCCCAGGTAATAATTATTTACACTGCGTTTCATAAAAAATAAAAGTGATTTTATTAAGTACAAGCAGTAGGATTTAAGTGGTAATAAGTGAGAACAAGCAGAGCAAAATAGATTGCAAACTCAAAATAACAGAAAATGCTTAGCTACTTCTACACTAAAACTTCAGTACAAACTTATTACAAACTTACTTACCAACTCACCCTAAAACTGTTTCTTTCCTGTCCAAGCTTTCCAAACCAGGGAAGTCTCCTTTTCTCTGAGGTCTCTACTTACCAACTCACCCTAAAACTGTTTCTTTCCTGTCCAAGCTTTCCAAACCAGGGAAGTCTCCTTTTCTCTGAGGTCTCTGGTTCCTTCCCTTGGGTGTGCCACACCTGTCAGACAAAAATCAAACATTCCTACTTTCCTATTGTTTTTAAAAAATATCCTTTTTGCATTGCAAGTCACTTGGCCCATCCCTACCAACCACTGCTAAAACTTAAGCACAAAAGGCTTTTTGCATATGATTGCTCAGACATTGAGGCCTCACAGACTTGAAATCACCCTTGATGGCTTTCATTTACGCATTTAAAAACCATACACCATTCCATACTCCATATGTCTAACTTTACACACAAGAATGATATGTACACCAAAATAAGATAAACAGATCCAGCGGATTGTGACATGAAGATTGATAGGTTCCATGAGATAATTTGCCCAAAGCATCTTTGAGTTATGTATATTTATGTCCATAAGTTCATTTCATAAAGCATGGGGGGGGGGGGCATATGTCATAGGTGCATCTCGGAATTTCTTGTTGTGGGATACCACCATGAAGCTCTTTAATCCTCTCTCTGGAGAGAATTTAAAAGAAACCCAACAATCTGTAATTTCTTAATAGCCTTGCAGTCTTAGGCACGTGCACACAGAACCTCCTGCATTATGGGACACAATAATCAGATCATGGTCTTAAAAAGGTGTTTTGTACGATCAAAACAAGAAAATATACTTGGTAAAAGATACTTGGTTGCTAGATGTTACAGAGCAACTGAAAAAAAGAAAGATTAAAAACACAAAGAATTGCTTCTCTGGAATTCGGTTTAAAAGTTACAAAAATATATGGGCTTAGCACAGAGAAGTGCAACAAACCCAAAAATAATGAAAATGACCTGATTGCGTCTGACTAACCATTCCCTGTTCTAGATATTCCTTGTCTTGTTTCCTGTCTGAATCCATATATTCCAGCTCTGCTCCCGTCACACAAAGACACCAGCAGAAAGGTCCTGCTTCCAATTCAAAAAACTCACACTCTGTTTCCATTAGCTCTCCTAGCTTCCTTCCAACATTTCCGGATTCCTTAGCATTCCTGAAGACTCTTTAGGATCCACTATCTGTGGATTTTAGCCCTTACGGGCAGTTTAGTAAACTGAATGGCTGGGATGTCCAGAAAAGTAGTGCTCCTCCCATTCATCACACCATCCATAATAAGCTTAAATTTTTTTTTTTAGGATCTAAATGCTGTGGCTTTCAGATTTAAAGATAAAGAACGACCACGAGGTTATACGTCGAAGCTTGCAGGGATTTTGCATGTAAGTAAAGCATTTGTATTTTGGGCAATATCTCAATGGAAAGAAATGTTACTATTCTTCTACAAGCAATGTATTCCACACATGGGGTATGTATGTGTGTCATGCACTGGTGTCTGGAATCTTTTTACAAGCAGTGTCACTTAGCCCTCACATGTGTAGTTCTCCTTGTGCTCTGAACCAAGAGCATTAGAGGCAGAGAGGACAGATGCCTCTCCACTTTCTTCGTTCCACTGCAGGATGTAAGTTGTAATCTTTGGTGTCCTTAGCTCCTTTCTGCTGAATCACAGCTTTAAGTATATTGGATATAGTTAATTTTTAGACGTTTAGTACCAGTGCCGAACCAGAGAATTTGCCAAACCACAGAAGGGCAACATTGTCTAGCGGCATTACCAACACTTCCACTGCTTACTGGGCTATTAGAAGACATAAATAAACAGCACAGAACACTGAGTGCCAGGACTGGTAGCTGTAAACAAATTTTTATGGGATCTAGAGAGATTCAACCTGTAGTTTATATGGTATAGTATTGTATAATTAGTATTTTACCTCCTTTCTTTTCCACCTGGGGAATACAATCTGTCCATTCCTACCAAAAAAGCAAAATTGTATTTCCTGCCCTTACTGTTTTGTCTGTGAGCAGCAAACATCAACATTGCCTCTGCTGCATAGGCAAGAATCACATCTTTGCCAAGCGCATCTGACACACTTCTCTTCTCAGTTGAAATTGAACCAGAGACTTAGAAAATATCCGGTGGAGAAGGCAATGAGATCCCACTCAGATCTGAGCTGGTGGACCCCAACCCATCCCTTGCACACACACATCAGTCTCAGCAAGTGAGCAGGAGCATGTTCTGAACATGAGCGTGGAACCACAGGTGAAGAATTTTAAGCCTAAGGAAAAGACTTCCCAGGAGAAAAGGCTTCCCAGAAGGGGCGCACACTCAGACAGAGAAACAAATCAATCGTCTTTGTCAGAAACTGCTCTGAAGAGAGAGGATTCCTTTCTGATCCCATTGAAGTCAGAAGTGCTTGGGTGCAGGGGCACTAAGAATTTGAGCCTGAGAAAATCATCTTGTTAGGAAAAGATGGCAGACGAGGATATACAGATCTAGTGGTTCAGATGGCAACGACTCAGGATAAACTGCTTCTAGTGCTCCCATCCTGTTTTAGAGTCAGTGTTGTACCAATATCAACAGAGCCCTGGATGGATCTGACTTATGCCAGAGAAAGAGACCATCCCAAGAATGCAGAATCATTCTCCCATCTCACCTGCTGTGCTTGAGGTGCAGCCATCAGTACCATTGGTTCCACTGATCCAGCCTACTCACCTGTTGAATTGGAGGTCCCATGAGAGTCTCTATGGCACAGGGTAGATGCAGCTTCAAAAGCCTAGATAGAAGAGCAGGATTTCAGACTTTGACCAGACATGATCGGCCCAGAGACATTTTATACCCTATACCACTGGATGCTTTACCCTACTGACTGTGTTCTTAGACTGGGGACACAACGCTTACTCTCTAAGTCTTGCAGCTGCTCAAGAGTCAGTCAGGTTTTGTACACTTGTTTAGCAGAGCATGCACATCAGGCAGCAAGTGTTAAGGTGCTCCTCCCCTCCACCCCCCACTGCTCAGTAACTGTTGCTCCTGCCTTGGATCCCCTGGCCAGTTGCTCCGAAGATCTTCTTGCTTGCTGTGGAGAGGAGAGGAGTCGCTGATATCTCCCTACCCATGTATCCCATCTCGATAGAGCAGGGCGAGCAGTGCTCAGGAGCAGGATGGAGCTGCTGGCAGCTGCTGGTGAGTGCCTTAAAGAGAGAGTGCACGATCTCTTATAGACTTCGCCAGCAGCCAGCACATGCATGCACACATATACGCTTGCTCTCTCTCTCTCTCTCTCTCTCACCTCCCATCACATGCTTCTTCTTGTTACGTATTGATATTTCCTGCATTGTACATTGTATTTTCTATCATTTTATTCTTTCAAGGTGCTGTTGTGTTTTTTTGACTGGTCTATGCATTTTATAATTTTATTTCTCTCTTGCTTCAATTTAATTCTTTGAGTAGTGAATCTTAAAATGCCTAATCTGTTCTTGCTGGAGTAATTATCTTTGATAACTTTTTAAAAAAATACATAATGTATATAGGTTTTTTGTTTCTATTGATAGCACACATCTGAATATTACCTTGATATTGGTGCACTGTAACAAAATTCATTCTGCACATGAATGGAAAAAGAGGGAACATTGCCTACTGTTTCTTTTGAGAACTGTGGGAGTTTTACTCTATGTGGTCAGGATTGGTGCATGAACTCTTTGTTGTCACCCAGTCATTCGTGCCCACCCTCTTCACAGTATTCAGAGGAAGGTGAACCAGATCCACCAGTTCTGAGGGTTACAGGAATGATTTCATTGTCTTCACTGGATAAGGCAGTTTCTCCCTCTTCTCTGTCTCTGCCAGATGACTTTAGGTAATATCACGAGCTAATGCAGATGGTGACAACAGAGCTACAGATTCAGCTTGAGGAAGCCCAGGAGCCACAGCACAGATTGTTGCACATCCTATAGTCTTCCAGTCCTGGTCCAGTGGCCCTTCCCATCAACTCCTGCACCCCCACACCCTCAGTCTTCTGCCACAACACTTCTGCACTATCCACACATCGCAAATCTGTGTCCTGAGCCCATCATACTTCCAACCTCCCTGAGCCCCTCATATACGCCAACCCAAACTCCTGCATCCTCACATCCACAAGCCTGTGGCTTGCTCAGTACCCCAACCCTCCACCTGAGCCCAACACTCCCCAGCCTGGAGCCCCCTCCCCGAGCCAGCATCTCCTTCTCCACCTCCTCCTGCATCCAAATTCCCTCCCAGAGTTTGCACCTCTCACCCCTTCCCACACCCAAATCCCTCTTTCCCACCCCAGAGCCCACATATACTGTCTCGACCCATTGAGGGTCTGGTTAGACTTCAGGAGTTTTTCCGGGATTCCAGAGGTATCCCAGAAAAACTCTTGCGCATCCAGGGACGCGTTTGTTCTTCCGCTTTTTTTAGCGGAAGAACAAACGTGCTCTTTTGGTAACCCCTGTATTCTTCATTCCATAAGGAATAAAGGGGCTTCCAAAAGAAGGACTTTTTTTGACATTTGGCTCAGTGTAGACAGGCCAAATGTTGGAAAAACCTCTTCCTACAGAAGAATTGGGAAAAAAAAGCGGCAGTGTAGCTGTACCCTGAGAGTGTATAAGGGCTAGGGATAGCAAGTGTTGGGGAGGAGGAGAACAGAGAGGGTGGGGCTTCATGGAAGGGGTGGGATCTTGGTGGAAGGATGGGGCAGTAGATCTTGGCTTGTTCTGACATTTAAAAAGTGATCATGGGCATAAAAAGGTTGGAGACCACTGCTCTAGAGAAGTTGAGAGTACCACCCAAGAGCTATCCTTTCCTACAATCAGTCTATTCCAGAAGAAGACAGATTAATTTTTTCATTGACTTGAGGACAACACTTCACTTGCTGAACATCTATACTTCCACCCCGCAAGAGAGAACATCATAGACAGGTATAGGGTAAGATTAATTTATCACTAACATCTTTGGGAGCCACCATTTAAGAGACAGAATGTTTATAGATGTAGGAACCAAGCCTCTGCAACATCCACCACCACATCATGTTCTAAGCCCTCCCACCTCAAGGAAAAGGTTTCTTTTGATGGGGCAATTGAGATCCTTGTCCTCATATTGATGCCTCTTCTTTCCCCGCCTCAGATTTTTGGAGTCCATGTCTTACTCAATTTGACAACAACTGGAGGACCCTAATGACATGAAAGATACATGTTTTCACAGATACTCATCCAGTCCATAGGAGATTCCTTGAGTTCCTCATCGGTCAAGATGGAGAATGGGACCTTTTTGCATTCAAACAAACAGGAAACATCCTTGATACTGCTCCAGAACAGCCCAAGAGAGAGAGACTTGATTAGAGATGCCCTTCTGATATAATGGAAAGATCCTTCCTATTCTATTAATACCATAAACTTTATGGAAGATTCCTCGTGACAGAGCTCAAGTCATCCTTATTTCATCCAACTGGCCAAGACAGTTCTGGTTTTACTGACCTACTGAAGTTTTTAGCTCAAGTCACCTGTGAACACCATTCCTCTTTTGCTGGATCTTCTACTACAACACGGGCAAGTTCAGGCACCCCAATCTGGGACCACTGCAACTCAGACCCTGGTATTTGGATAGCTGTCAAAAATTGAGCACCCTTGTTTCAGTAGGATGCAGTCCATTCTTAATTAAAGCAGAAAAGACTCTATAAGGAGCTGTTACTCAGAAAAACATTTATTTATTCTCTTGGGTTTAGTCGTGCCACTTAATGCAGAATCCTTTGTGTCCTAGAATATCTACATACCCCTAAAGTCTTCAGATCTTACACTCAGTTCTCTACGAGTGCATTTACAAGCAATCAATGCATTTCACTCTCCAGTGGATAATCATATGATCTTCACTCATCCTATCACAAATACATTTCTGAAGGGTCCCCTCAGATCATTCCCACGTTTGGTGAAGTTCACACCTTAGTGGGTCTCAGTTTTGTTCTATCTTTCACTAAACCTTCCTTTGAGCTTCTAGCCACGTGCCTTGTGGCTTATATGAAGGTTGCTTTTCTAATAGCCATATCAGTTAGGTGACTCAGTGAGTGGAGGGAGGAGCATTCATGGCAGATCTGCCATATACTACTGCCTATAAAGGAAAGGTGTCATGTCTCTATCCTGGATTTGTCCTTAAAGTAGTTTCCAAGTTTCATGAGTCAGGCCATTCGTTTACCAGTATTTTTCCTAAACTACGTCTTAGATGAAGAGAGAGGGCTGCATTCACTGAACATCTGAAAGGCTTCGGCCTTTTATCTACAAAGGACATTAGAGATACATCTAAACTATTCCTTTCAGTAGCAAAGAGATCTGGAGATTCAGCTATATTGACACATAGACTTTGAAAATGCATCTCTAGTTGTATTGTTCTTTGCTACCAACTAGCTTGCATTCCCCCTGCAGAAGAGAAGAGGGCTCATTTCATCAGAGGGCAAGCAGCGTTGACTGTATCCCTAAAAGTGGCCATGTAAATAAAGCCCTGTATGTATCTTCACAAAACAGTCTGGTCCAGTCTTTCACTCTGGATATAGCTGTGGGGACAATAGTATTACAGTCAGTTATCTTCTGCATCATTGCAACAAATACCTACTAAAGTCTGCTTATTAAGTTCCCGTATGTAAAATATATATAGAGGCCATCAGTCAAAGAAGAAATGGAGTTTATTTACCTGTGACTGCAGGTTCTTCAAGATTCATGATCCTTATCTGTATTCCACTATTCATTCTCCATCCCTTGTGCTATGGATTGTTTGGACAGCAGTAAGAGCAGGAAATGGAGTGACATTAGCCCACTCCATTCTTATGTCCTTTGTGGCAGGTGCGTGGGTCAATGGGTATAGCTTATAGAAAGTAAATAAATAAATCTGGACTCAGGCACGTCGTGCACGTGTGTACCCATGTATAGAATACATATAGGGACATCTCGAACGTTGAGTATCAAGTAAGTAACTTCCATATTTTAATTTTTAGAATTGCACTGCATAAAAACCTATAATAGATATTTGAAAAAGTCTAGAATTTGTAAAAGAAACATTTTTGCTATAATGACTGCCATAAGTAACAAATCAAGAGATAAGAATTTCTTCTGGCTTGGTAGAACTGATTATTCAGTTTTGGGCTGGCCATATGATTTGTCTCTTAAGAGGCCTGAAACTTGTGAATTTGTGAAATCTTGTGAATTTCCTCACTGTGCACTTTCCTGATAGTTCTATTGTGCAGTATTAAAGAAAAAGAGGTCTACAATGAACCAGAATACAATTTTTAAACTTTTTTAAAAGATGACAATATTAAGAATTATATGCAGGAGACATTTTCTGTTAAAGGAATATTTTTAAAAAATCACCTATTCTAACACCTTAGATGATTAAAAACAGAAATGCATTTTTTCAATCTAGTTGATTTTTACCAGTTAAGATATTTTTTACTTTCTGCAATTTACTTAATTTCATTTCTATTTTTACCAATGAATAAAACCCAGTTCTAGCTGTTTTTTATACTGTAGATAGCTGAATATTGGCTTCCAGAGGGAAAGTATAAATCCAAACCAAGAGTATGTTCCGATTACATTTTGATTCTTTTTTAATCAAACACTTATCAATATGTTTGCAAAAAATCTAGTAGTAATAGGCAAACTTTTTCATAAGACATCTAAACTTAGCTCAGTGTCCTTTTTCAAAAATGGTATTTCTGTGTATTGAGATTTACAGTAAACTTCCGATAATCCGGCACCTTTAGGACCCAGGAGGTGCCGGATTATCAGATATGCCGTACTATCAGAAGGGAGGACTATGAGGGGTCTGGGGCTGAATCGGGGATGCCTGCAGCAGAGCAGCTGGAGTGCTGCTGGGTTGGTCCTGTAGCGCCAACCTTTGGCGCTGTGATACCAACCCGATAGCACCCCAGCTGCTCTTGGGGATGCCTGGGGCAGAGCAGCTG